GCCAGCCCTGGCCCTGATGACATTACTTAGATCCTGCTGCCTCCTGACACGAAGGCTGTGGGCAAGTCCCTAACTCATTGCATAGTTCTCACCTATCAAACAACCAAAGGACCTTTTGGCTCCAGGAGACTCATGGATGAGGGCCTGGCTGAGTGTCTGCCTGTACTGACCGAGTTCAGCGGGCTTCATGTTGATCCAGGGGACCTCTGGGTTTTAAGTACCTGCCTGTGTCCTGCAGCCTGAGTGGCACTGGGGACAGTAACTGAATTCCTCACCTTGTCCTGTAAGGAAGGAGGCCCATGGGGAAGAGCGAGCCGATGTGAATTTACTGGCTAGGTCACAGCTATCAGCTGGGGACAGCTGGGCTAGATACAATGCCAGGTTTGAGGCAGGCACGGTATCATAAACCTGTAATCCTAGGACTTGAGAAATAGAGGCAGCAGGATCAGAAGTTCAAGGTCATCCTCAGCTACAGAGTGAATTCAAGGCTTCAAGGCCAGCCTGGGCTACTATGTAAGATGCTGCCACAAACAAACAAACAAACATTGCAAAGAACCCAAAACCCAAAACCAAAGCCAGGTTTTCCCACCTGACTCCAATGCCCAGACCTTTCTCGTCATCTCTGAAGCCTGATGGGTGTGGAGGGGGGCTGGAGTAGGGGCTGAAGAGTTTAGACTATGTCTGGAGCAGCCTTAGAGGGTGGCTCAGCACTCTGGGCCTCCTTGAAGACTGGCCCTTGTGACTGAAATGTTTCCCCCTCCACCTCCATGGCTATCCAGCTGTCTTGCTTGTCATGTGATGTCCACATAAATGTCACCACTTTAAGAAGCTGTCTGCCTTGTCCTCTGGCCTCTCTGCTCTTGTGTGTTCTTGGGTGAAGGGGCAGGATGGCTGTGTGACAGAGGACAAGGGCTCTGACAGCTGGGCCCAGTCCTGGGGTCTCTCATTCCTAGATGGTGGGTCTTGGCATGCGGCTTGGCATTTCTTCTAGTGCAAGTTCTGAAAGCCCAGACCAGCCTTCCTCCTCAGTCCCCGAGTGGCACTTGTGCCTTGGCAGAAGGCACTCACAGAGGCAGAGTGTGGGTGGAGGCGCGTGACGGCTTTATGAAGTCAGAAGACAGCTCTGGCCCCGGCAAGTGCCAGGGGACTGTGAGAGCAACCCAGTGCTTGCCCAAATGAAAGCCTTTTTTTCCTTTTAAGGCAGTGAACTAGATATTTATAAATTGAATTTTAGGGTCTGTCCAAAACCCATCACTGAATGCATCGGTCTGGAACTGCGGCCCCTGCCTTGTTTCTCTGCAGTCTCCTGTGTCGCCACCCCCATCCGATCGATGCCCTTGCACAACTGCCCATCCCGGCCTCTTGCACATTTCCCTGAACCGTCCGAATGCCTCTGGACTGCTTCCTGTGGGGTGTCCCCTTCTGGGTGCTGGGGCAGCCTCCGTGAGGAGAAGCAGACCACCGTACGTGGGCGGTAATGGTGGGGCAGACAGACAGGCACATAGTGATCAGAGGCATAAAACTCAGTTTTAGCCGCAGGAATGTGAAGCTGGGCTCTGGGCTGGGACGAGGTGTCTGAGTCAAGACCGTCAGTGTGATGAGCTCAGGGCTGAAGGCAGGAGGCAGGCCAGAGCCACATGTGCAAAGGCCCTGTGGCAGAAGGACCCGATGTTTAGGAGGTACAGGCGGGGTGGGGGTGGGGGGTGGGAGTGTGGGGCTCTGTCTCTTCCTTCCTGCACTTTTCTCCCTGGGGCCACCTTTCTCTTTGCCCATCCCGTCTCTCCAGTCTTCAGAGCCCAGCTCGAATGCTTATTGCAGGAAGGCCCTCTTGTCTGAGAAGGCAGTGGTCTGCACTGGTGGCCACTCCTGGGTCTCACTGCAGCAGTTGTGGTACTAGCTCTGTACCTATGCTCTGCCTTGTATCGCAGTGTAAGTCCTTACAGGAAGAATTAGAGGCCAGCGGTCCTAGCAGTCCCAGTTTTAAATCAAGCGCTGAGCCACTTAGTGGTGGGATTTCCTGTGACTGGCCCTGGTCTCTGTGCCTCAGCCCACTCACTGGTAACGTGGGAGGGCTCTATGTGGCTGCCTAGCTCCTGACTGGGCTGTGAGATGAGGGGCTTTTCAGAGGGCTTGGAATGGACAGAGTGGGAAAGGAAGTCAGGCCCAGGGCTCAAAGGGACTTGGGCTCAGTTGGACTCAAGTTTCTCAGATCTGTCTGATGGTAAGAAAGACTCGAGTCCCTTGACAAACATCAGGCACCACTCCCAGGCTCCCTTAGTAGGCCTGGATGCAGACCAGGAGCCTGTGTTCCGGAAATCTCCTGTATGGTCCTGGCAGTGCACAGTTTGGTGGGGGAAACTGAGACCCAAGTGAGGAAGTGACTTCGTGGGTGTGACAGAAGGCTCAGTCTCCGGTTCTTTGCCCAGGAACAGAAAGGCCCACTCTCTGCAGGCAGAACACACCTCCCACCCCCCGATGCTGGCCTTGGCTGTGGACTTGCTATGACTGCTGAGGTAGCGTAGCTGTGGGTTCAGTGTGGCTCCTTCCACACGCCTACCTTTCACCTGGAGAGAAATGAGCCTGGGGATGGTGCTGAGTCATGAAGACTAGAGCGAGCCTTCACCATGGATGCCTGCTCAGCCTAGTGGGTCCCACAGTGAGGGAGAACACAAATGCTACTCTTACTACTGAGCTTTGAGGTAGTTTTGTTACACAGCATTATTGCAGTAATAGCTGACCATTACACTAATGATATATGCAAGCAAATGACAAAACTCCTGTTTATATGTTCCTTCACATGAGGAGGCCAGAAGCTCGTCAGGTACTGTCCACCCGAGACAGGGTCTCTCATTGGTCTGAACTTCTTGTGCAGTAAACTCCGGGGGATCCTCCTGTCTCTGTCTCCCCAGCACTGGGATTAGACGCTTGTACCACCACACGTAGTTTTTATGTAGGCTCTGGTGACTGGACTCAGGTCCTTGTGCCTACACAATCAGCATTTTACCTACTGAGTCATTTCCCTAGCCCCTCCTGGTTTCCAATCCTGAGGTCTCCCCAACCTGCTCCGTCCAGAAGCCCCTCCCTCCATGCTCTCCTCTACATCCTCGTCTCTGAGCATGTCCAGTTTTAGACAAGAGGGACACTTCTCAGCATCCCAGGCCCCATTCTTCTCAGCTAAGCACTGGAGCTCTTAGCAACAGCTCTCCCCTGACCACGGGCACCCAGGAGGTACTGAGGAGGTCCCCTAGAAACTTCTTTTCTGCCTTCTCACAGTGGAAAAACATTGCTCCCTCCCCTTGCTGTAGCCAGGGCTCCAGCCCATGTGCTGTTGGGTATCTTCGCTAACAGCTGTAGCTTCTGATGTCTTGCTCCTCTGGACCCCAATCGAAGGATATCTCTATGTTCTTATAATAGTCCACTGTTTTAAACGCCTGGCTTTGGGATACATTTGTTACTTAGCATTATCACCTCAGTAGCTGACCAATACACTCCACTCCACCTTCAACCAGTTACATCCCACGATCCCATTCTCACACACAAAAACAGACACTAGAGCCACATATGGGTCCTTTCCATCCCCCAGGGCTGGACACACACGTGCTCACAAGCTACAGGGTCCCAGGCAGATATCTTGAAAACATAGCCGTCAAAACACACGGAATGGCAGGGCCAAATGTTCTGACACAGAACACCGGGCCCATAGTCACATTCTAGCCCTGGAGTCCCTTAGCCCCAGTCCTTCTTCCTGGCTTGAGACCGGACTTCTCCAACTGTCCTCAGGGTGCCTAGGGATACAGTGGGTCCCCTTTCTTTCTTGAGGTCTCCTTCATTTCTGTCCTGGGTTCTCTTAGTTTTGCAAACTACAGTTGCAACAGCCCACCTCTTCCAGGAAGCCTTCCTGGTCTGCCCTGAACCTGTCTCCAGGATCCCCGTATTTTTCCCATGCAGGGCCAGAAATTTTGTTGAGTGAATAAACCTGGGTCACAGTCTGCCTACTCCATGGAGCCATAATCACCTTGGTTGTTCCATGGAGCCCACAGTGTGGGGTGTTCCTGGGAAGCACCCCTTCCCTTAGATTTATTGGTTGGTCTTGTGGGCAGGGGCTGAAGAGATCAGGGGTTGTTGCTAGGACTGTGTTGCTTGGCACCTTTCCACTTGAAGGGAAGCAGGGTGCACCGTGGAAGAGTATCGTAGAGCCACAGAGAATACTGTCGAAGAGGAGTTCTGGGAGAGGCCTTCTAGGATCAGACTTGTCCTGGGGTTAGGCTAGAGGAAGCTAAGTGTGTCTGAGGAAGCACTAATGGAAACGGCTAGAAGTCCCTCAGATCTACCACCTCCACTTTGCCCTGAAACTGCAGAGGTGACATCTCACATTCAGTGGACACATGAGGCCACCCAACCAAGCCCAGCCACTCCCACCCACCTGGATCAAGCATCACCATGCCCTGGGGCTCCCCTTCTTGATTCAGTCTGGGCAAAGCAGGGAGACATTCGGGTCCTTGGGAGTCCCATGGATCAGACACCCATGATCTGCATCGCTCTCCTTGAGAGGGAAGCACTTTTGCATTCCTTAAGCCACCACACGCCAGGACTTCTCATGACATGTACCACAAAAGGCAGCAGTTATTAGAAACTCCAATGCAGAGAGTCACTTTGTCCCCTGGGGGTGTTGAACCACAGGCAAAACCTTTTTCTTTTTTAAGTGTTAGGAATCAAATCAAGGTCCTATACATACTAGGCAAATGCTCTACTACTGAGCTACACCTACAGCCCTAACCGTTGATATTTAGAGACAGGATCTTACTATGTAGCCCAGGCTACCCTCAAATTCGTGTTCCTCCTGCTTCAGCCTCCTCAGAACTACGATGATATATACAGACTACTTCCTTAGTGCATTAATATTCTCAGAGGAGAAACTGCCTCAGTTACTTCCCTAAAATTGGCAGGGTACTGTGTAGCACAGAGTGACAGTCCCCTCCCCTTGTACCCACAGGGCTCACCTGCTTGGTTGGTGGTGATGTTCACGGAGGCGAATTGGGGTGAGAAAGGGCTCTGGTCAGTGACCCCATTTACAGCCTGGATCTCGAAGGTGTACTGCGTGTGTGCCAGCAGGTCACTGATGTAGATGCGTGGCTCGGTCAGGCCCAGCTGGCGGGGCGCATACTGCACGTTGTCCCCACAGCGGGTGCAGGCACCCCGGCCCGAGCCACAGCTCTTGCAGATGATGTTGTAGACAAGGTCCTCACGGCCCCCTGAGTCTCGCGGTGGGGTCCACTCCAGCATGAGGGACGTCTCGTTGACGCTGGAGATCACAGCCTGGGGCGCAGAGGGGATGGCTAGGGAAGGGACAAGAGGGTCAGTCGAGGCTGTGGGTACTGTCTTCACTCCATGCCCAGGGCCTCCCCCAGCCCTGGCCTCCTACAAAGGCTTCCTCCAAATCTTTCCATTTACCCAAAGAAGCTTCTAGAATATGTTACGCTGCTGAGAATCGACACCTGCTTTCCTCCAGGCTTCAGCCTCTTCAGTAGTTGTTCCTGGAGATAGTGTTTTCATGTTTGGGACAACACCTGCAGGCCACCATCATCTCTCCCTTCCATCCCTCCTTCCTGTGTGTTGTGTATGTGCTCCAGTGAGAATAAGTCAGAGGTGAGCTTGGTGGAGTTGCTTCCCTCCGTCCACCTTTATGTGGGTTCTGCTGATTGATTTCAGGTTATCAGGCTTTTGAGGCAAGCCCCTTCACTCATGGAGCTATCTTGCTGGCCCTTTCCCTTTATAACAGTTTTATCGAGAGTGGTGATTTGTCTATCTGAAAGATGCCTTTGTGATTTTGTACCATCCACTGATTAAGAGAAGTTGTTGAGTAGTGTAACTTATGTGTGGGTGTGTGCATGCATGTGACTGGGCATATACACGCATGTGAGTGTGTGTGTGTGTGTGTGTGTGCGCGCGCGCGCCCATGTGGCGGTTGGAGCAAGGGCATCCAATATCTTTCTCTATCATTCTCTATCATATCTCTCACTGAATAGGAAGCTCACTATGCCACTAGACTGGCTGACCAGCTAGCTCCTGGGATCAGCCATTCTCCACCCCCTGAGTGCCTGGCCTTTTACATGGATGCAAGAGATTTGAACTCAGGTCCTCATGCTTGCAGAGCAAGTGCCCTTACCCACTGAGCTATCACCCCAGTCTCCCTAGAGTTGTGTTTTAAAAGGGAGATAGATGAGTCTTTTTTTCTTTCTGATGCCTAGTGTGTGTGTGAGAGAGAGAGAGAGAGAGAGAGAGAGAGAGAGAGAGAGAGAGAGAGAGAGATGCCTGGAGCTTCAGCAGCCCTGCTAGAAGTGACTTTGGGAGAAAAGCCAGATGCCTTAGAGGCCATCATGAATTCACCTTTCTGAGCCCTGCGAGCCCCTTCCACATGACAGAATAGGTCTGTGTGGTCTAAGCCACTGGGGTCAGCTCTGTGAACGTCACCCCTGACTGATGCAGGGGATAGAACACTGCTGTTTTCCAAGAGAACTTTGACCTTTGACCCGAGGATCAGGCTGCAGCTGCAGCTTGTACACTGAGCAGCCTCTGTGTCAGGTGTCACCTGGCTCTTCTGCCAAGCCTCCTCCTGTCCTTCTGTGAATCAAGACCTTGACTTTATCCTACATGTGACTGAGCGGAAGGGGGTGATAGCCAGATGCCAACGTGTCGTGCCAACCCGGGACTGGCTTTCTGTTCCCTCCGCCAGGCACTCCGCTGCTCTGCGGCCACTCCCCTTGCTCCGAGCCTTCCTGTGAGTGGACTGGGGGTGGGAGAGAACGTACTTGTGCAAGGCATGTCTACGGGGTCCAGGTCAGCCCTGTAGTAGCCGTTGCGGCATACACAGTTGGTGGCGCCCTCGGAGGTGGTTCGGCTGTTGATAGGACAGTGGGTACAGGCCTCATCCCCCTGGTTGGCCTTGAAGGTTCCTGATGGACAACCTGGGAGAGAACACAGGGAGGGTCACCAAGAAGGCCAGGTGAGAAGAACAGAAGCTGCAGCATGAGGAGGAACCCCTGGCTGTGGCCCTGGGGACCTGCTACTGAAGTTCCGGGGTCTCAGGTCCAGCTTGTCAGTCTGGCTCTGGCCCGGGGTTTCAAGAGGACCTGTTTTTTTTTGTTTTTGTTTTTTGTTTGTTTGTTTTTTCTTTTTTTTGTCCCTGAAGTTGCCTGTGGATTCGGCTCCCTCAGCAGTCTCCCCTCCCTGTCCTGGCCACCTGTGTCTCTGTCTGGAGGGGCTTGACAGAGCCTGGATTCCTAACCTGGTTAGCTGCTAACTAGTCTGTAACTAGGTAATACGGCTCTCTATCAAAGACATGATTTTGTTACAGATGGAGTCCTGGGCAGTTAGATAGCCTTCTGAGTGACTTGGTACACGCTGAGGACACTGCTGGAGTCACATAAACCTGAGTCCGAGTTCCTGCCTGTGTTGCTCTAAGCAAGTGGTTTAACCACTCTGCGATGCAGGTCCCTTTTTTGTAAAAGTGTCACCCTAAGGTGACATTCTGCACACACACATATGATGCCTGCTACAAGCCCGCGTCAGGCTAAGGCTCTATGTAGAGTTTGGCCAATGTGTTTAAAATAAAAGGGGATTGCAATATCAGGTTCCGCCTGAGGGGGCAGTGTCCACACTCAGGCAGCACCTGGCAGTCGGGAGTGGTGTGGTCTCTGGCTCTTGAAGAGCAAGCAACCTTGCAGCCAGGGCAAGCATGAGTTAGGTTCTACTGCAGGCAGCCATGGAGTGTGGGTGGCTTCAAACCCACTCACCCACCCATTCCTGCTGGCCCGGGAAGGGAATCCAGAGGTTGCTGGTTGGGCCCTGTCTCTGTCTCTAAGTGAGGAGGTGGATGGGAAAGAACTTCTGAGGAAAAACTCTCTGGAATGAATTGCTGCTAGTTCACCCACAGGCCAGGAGTCCTCATCTGGAAGACATCTATTCCTTGCCCGGGTGCTGTGAGACTTTAAGCAAATGACTGCACTTCTCTGAATGCTCATTTCCTTGTATATAGGCAGCTAACATAAATCTCCTAATTCATCTTTCCAGGGTGTTTGGTATTTACTTTTCAAGTCCTAGTCTTAGCAGTTCGTCTTCCTCCAGCTGAGTCCCCAGGTCAGAAACCCTGCTTTTCCTGAGGCTTGGAACAAAACCTGAATTCTAAGGGTTCCCATCCTGCCATCATTACCCTTGTACAGGGTTTCCTGGCCATTTTCTTAGCTGTCCCAGAACCAAAGCCACACTTTATTGACTGTTGCTTGGCCTCTGCCTAGCCTATAAGCTGGTATTCAGCAAGTGCTCTATAAATGCTTCCTGAAGCTGCCTAGCTAGGATGGCAGTGAACACGGTTTAGGAAGCAGGCCTCCTGGCAAATCGCATATCCACCTGGGTGTGCAGTGTGACCAGTGACCTCACCGGCTTTCCTGTCCATGAAACAGGGCGACAGCACTTAGCCCTGCTGAGAGCATCCTGCTGATTCACATCTGTACAAAGGGGCTGGAGCAATCTTGTCACCCCACCTCTCCTGAATCCAGGCAGGGGAATTAAAGCACAAAGAGGAGAAGGCACCGTCTTAGGATGGGGCCTTGGCAGCAGAGCTGGGGCCAGCCCCAGGCCGCCTGGCCACAGAGACCTCCTCTGTTCCCACCCCACCTTAGAGTCCAGAGTGACTTCCTTTTTCACTCACCGTCCCCAAGTGTTGGTGGAGAGTGGGTAGATTAACAATTGCTACTCTGGGCGCCTCTGCAGCTCTGACTTTGTGGACCTGACTCCCTCTCACCTACAAGTCCTTGCTGCGGTGAACCAAAACAGGGCTATCATGTGGGCATGGCCCAGGGATCCTAGGGCATGCAAACTAGCACCAGCCCAGAGTTTAGCCTCTTAGAGTTTGTGTCCTCTGCACATGGGAACGTGGGGGCTTGTGGGAGGGTCCAGAACTATCCGAAGGATACCAAAGGATTTGGCCCAGAGTTTGGACTCCTCCTGGCTCTCTCATCAGAGCGTACAGCTCCGTGCCTGCTCCATCTGCTGGCCAGTTCCCGGCTGCCTGGCAGGTGGCTGCTCTCTCCCCTCTGAGCCATGCCAGCCCTTCCATCTGGACCCCCTTCCCAGCTGCTGTGCTGGGCTACTGTGTCCCAGGCCAGCCTGACCCTAGCCAGTTCCTCAGTAACCTCCTCACCAGGAACCCTCAGTCCCTGAACTTCCTCAAACCTGCTCCTCTTCAACCTGGGAGGTCGCTTCACTGTCACCAGTCACCAGGAGCACCCCCTTCCCTGCCTGAACCCCCTCTCCTCCTACCCCCTGCAGGCACTCAATTACCAGGTCTTCCCTCCACAGCAGGGTCCCATGCCCGCCTCTTCTTGGCCAGCTCCCACCCTGCAGGCATCTAGAAAGCTCTTTCCCACCCACTCCTTGGCCTCGCAGGACCATCTGGCCTCCTCCTGCCCAACCTCCCCAGCCAGCTTTCTAAAATACAAGTTGTTCCATGTCACTGAAAGAGAAATAGCGGCAGACAATGGAATATTATTTGGCTGCAAAAAAGAGTGAAGCCTGGGTGCGAGCTCCCACCGGGGAACCTTGAAAACATTGTGCTCTCTCAAAGAAGCTGGTCACAAAAGTACGATTCCATTTATAGGAGATAGGTGCAGGAGAGCCGCATCTGAAGAGACAGGAAGTCGATGTATGGCTGCCAAGGGCAGGGGACCGGGGAGAATGAGAAATGACTGCTAATGGGTAACAGGCTTACTTTGGGGGCAATGAGAACATCCTGAAATTGATTGTGGCAATGTTTGCATGGCCCCGTGAATGCATTAAACCCTCGGATGGGCCCCAGTGATCAGGTGATTTCAGCGGTGTGTGTGGGATGCTTCACTATGCAACTTCTGTCCCAAGAGCTACCTCAGGGAGCCCAAGATCTTCAGGGTCCCATAGACTTCACACTAGGGCACCTCCTGTCTTGAGGTCCGCGCAATGTCCCTCCACATGTGGTGCCCACGCCCTGCTTCCTGCCCTTGCCACCTGGACTGCCCTCCCTTGGTCACTGAGCCAATAGTGCCTACTCCCGGAAGTCTCCCTGGGCACCTGCTTTCATGGCTTCCTTATGAATCATGTGCCTGGCTGAGCTGCTTACCCTGGAGGCCTTGCCAGTCGCCCAGATGGATGAACAGAGCAGTGGGAAGAACACCAGCTCAAGACTTCTGTTGGCATTTGGGGAAACTGAGGCCCAGAGAGAAGCAGATAGACAAGGCTCTTAAGAGTCAGGTTCCTCCTTCTCCCCTGACCCCTCCACCTCCAAGAGGGGTCTGGGCTGGTTCCCAAGCCCCAACCCTTGGTTGTTACGTGCAAGGGCTCAGGAAGACGAGGCCTGCATGCAGAACGAGCATCTGAACCTGAACAGTGCCCAGTGCCCAGGGGCCTCCCTGTCCAACCTTCGTCTCCGCCAGCCCTCCACAGTCAACACAGGGATCTGCTGGACAGCAGCCTAGTGGCCCAAGGAGTCAGCTCTAAGTGTCACCTGGCTATTTCCTACCACCCCAGCCTCCAAGGGCTCCAGGCCTGTGGCTCCACAAGAGGGTTTCACTTCCAGGCCTCTGCCAAGCTGTAACCCCTCTTTGGCCTTAGTCTTATTTACCCAAAGGTTTACCTTTGGCCCTAGGATGGCCAGCTAGACTACTGTTAAAGTGCCAAAGCAGTACTGGCCCATGCCTTGGGCTCTTTCCCTTTAATGACCCTCAGCTTGTACCAGCATAAGAAAGCAGAGCTTGTAGGTCCACGTGTGTGTCATCCCTTGCCCATAACGGAGATGCTACAAAAGGTCCCAGCCCCAGTGGGATCCCAGGAGGTGTTGTTGGCTGAATGGAGAAATGCATCCTCACTGGGATGGAGAAGCAGGGAGGGATGCGGGCCACTGGCATCTTCAAGACCCATCAGACCCCTTCAGCGTGCAGAATACTCATGCTTGCCACCTGCTCTCTCTGTCTTCTGGGCCTGTCTGCTAGGTGACCAGTTCTTAAATTCAAAAGCCTGAGTCCCAAGATTCCCAAGTCTGAGGCCAGCCAGGAGGGCTCACAGTCCCACTGGACCCTTGTTTTTCTTGTAGCCCAGATTTTGAACTCACTGTGTAGCCGGAGATGACCTTGAACTTCTAATCCTGCAACCACCTCCCGAGTGACAGGATTATAGGCCAGTGACACCACACCTGATTTATTCGGTGCTAAGGATCACACCTGGGGTTTTGTATACACTAGACCAACATTCTACCAACTGATCCGCATCTCCACCCCTGCCCCATCAGACACATTAGCTCTGTGGGCCGCTTCTCATCCATTCACAGGACTTGGGTAGCCTGGCTGCACAGCCTGCTCCTCTCTCCTCAGGGCATCTCTCTGTACCCCTTTTCCTCTTCTCTGCCTAGCAGCCAGCTTAGGCCTCCAGGCAGCACAGACCTGTTCTACTCCCAAACCAACTAAACCAACCAGCTGGTTAGCAAGTGAGAAGTGCAACTCACATTTGTGTTCCTGTATTGTGTGTGCTTCCCAGAGAGTCAACTCCAGTTGACCGGCCTGAGACCAGGGCCACTGTGCTGTGAGAGACACGCACAGCTTTCTCTTGTAAATTCCATGGTACAAAGCAGGGCCAGTCCCACTGGGTGAGGGGACGTGGTCTACTGGCTGGTGAGTGGTGGATGGGGTAGGTCTGAGCGCAGAATCTCGCACACAGGAGGCGTGCCAGTGATTCCACCGGAAGGATGAGCAGCTCCCAGAGGTAGGATGGGGTGAGATACACAAAGTTCCTGAACTCAGGGCCTGTTCTTTGTGATTCTAGGGACTTCAAGCCTCCAGCAAGCTCTGATAGCAGAACTGTCATTGTCCAGAGCGTTTTAAGGGCCGGGCCAACGCTCAGCTCTGTGTGACCTGGATTCTCTGACTTGATTCATGTCATTGCA